TGATGGGTTAAGAAACGAAACATATTTTACCTGGACAAACTGACGGATGCACTCGTTTCCATGGTCTCTGAGAAAGGTCTGCAGAGTCTCCATGCCCTGCGCTGACAGAAGCTTGTAACCGTTGTTACTGGCCATAGCGGCCACCGAGAAGAACATGGTTAGTTCGATAATAACGATCACCACCTTCCTACATCTCTATTTAGCGAGTGAGTGAAATATTCAAATACAAATTAACAAGAGCACAATAACCAATATCCTCACTAGTAACTGTAGGATCAGCACTGCCGGTTACATTCAATAAACTGTAGACCATTATTTAACTCAATATGATGTAATCAGACCATCAGCAGTAAAATCAACGCCATGTCGCTGTAGTTGTAATGATGCCTCTGACGTTTTGACGAGCACATAAAAAGCCGAAACACCAATAAACATACACTATATGAGTTCAGTTCACATTTCGATTCAAAATTTCAGTTTAAGATAAACTGTTTTCTGTAGCCTACACCATTAATTTTCACCAGGAGTGACAGTTTACGTATGTCTGCTGCGCTGATCCAATTTAAACTCACTCAGCTACCACATGAGTCGCTTTTGCTTCAAAGTAAATTAGACAAAATGTATACGAGAAGTCGTTTGCTATAATTCTGATATTAGGTGTACATGCAAGGCAGAAAACACAGCACTTTTATGTTAATCGAAATAATGAAATGTTCCTTTTCTAGGATATAGAAACGCAAAGCAGAGAGCTAACTCGGTGCACCAACGCCAATCCGTTACATTTACCGACGGCCACGTGAACGTGTGCCTGGCAGCTGTGGTGTGGTAGGTACACTCCACTGGTCCACCTATGACGCGCTGCCCCACAGAGCAAGGCAGGAGGGTACGGCCTGAGTCTGGGCATGCTCCATACAGCCCTCGCCAGAGAAAGCCTTCCACCACTCAACGACAGCCAGACAGTAACGGCGCTGCTGATGTGCTACTTCAGGTGCACCAAGGATCATACACTGGCATTCTTGGAAAGCTTATTGCAATTAAAACTCTGGGGTACGTAGGACTACGTTAACAAAACAAATTAACTATCGAGAAACTAACAGACGCTGGGCTGCGCAAGAAATGCCAAACATTTCTTCGATCCCGAGAATCCATTATACTATCTACAACAGCACGACTATGGACCTCATAATTAACTAGCTTAATCCAGTTAACATCGTCACGCCTCTATGGTCAATTTTAATATTATCCTCCCACGCCGTCTTTCGGTTTATCCCTTCGGGTTTTCCACCTAGAATTTTCGATTTGGTAAAGGAGGGCCTTTTAGACCACAAGACTATTTGTGTTCTTGCGAGTTTCTTTCAACAAGGTGAATCCCCGCCACATTTTTTAACAAACCGAGGTCGTAACTGGGTGTAATCCTTCACAGTCAATTTGATTGAACGAGGAGGTCGCCAAATATCAACAAACGGACATTTTCTTACAGGGTACTGTGAAGTACAAGAGTTATAACACCCCCACCCCACTCGCCACACTTTCTGACGACAATTCAAGAGCTCAACACGCGCATTAGGGTCTGAGTTGCAAAAGATGATCATAATACTCGATCAAAGTGTGGCAGGAAACTGAACATTGATTTCACATTATCCGCGTTCTCACCCGCCGTAAGAACCTGAAATCTCACATTTCATAGCAAGACCTGCTATCTCGCTACCATAATTATGAATTTTGGTGGTGCTTTATAAATAGCTGCATGGTCGACTATTTACCAGCAAAGGCCTGCCAAGATTCAGATATGACAATGGTGTAAAAGGTTACATAACATTTGTAAAACTGCTACTTTACTAGTTTCAAGCCAGAAGAGATCGGTAACAGGTATCGACTGTTTTGGTTCCTGAATCCAGGAATCAAATCGTTCCGCTCAGTTAGTATAGTCTGTGCGCCGGCAGGGGAAGAGGAAAGTTCTAGCCTCTCCATCCAGACCGACGTTTGAGTCCACCCAGCCTCCTAACCGACGGTCCTCTTCCCGGAGGCAAAGCGCGGCCAGGGCGTGAAGCTGTCCACTCACTCCCATCATGAGCTACATCACATACCCCGAAGCCCTCTAAGGTGTGGAGCAGGACAGCTTTACTAACAACACTGGGGAAGGAGTACAAATTTTTAAGCTCGTCACTATTCAGTTTTCTCCATACCCCATCCTCTTCCCTTTTAGGCCCAAATATCCCCCTCAACACCCTATTATATGAGAAATACATATAAAATGTCATTAAAAACTAATGGGATAAGATCTAGTCTTGCTGGGAGACTGAGTCGCAGATGTACTGGGCGAGAGATGAGACTAATGACCACGGCATTGAACCAACTTATTCCAAGTTGACTTACAAAATATTAGACAGACATAACTGAGAAACCACGCCCTCAATTTCCCGTGGTTCAACACAAGCGCATTCGACAATTCCAAACTGTTAAAAGATATTGATTGCTCCATAGAGTGATTTGTAAAAATATTTGTTTCAAACGGAATTGGGTGTGAACCACATACGAGCGAGAGGGGCGGGGGTGCTTCGGAAGTTAACATACGATACTGGTGCAGCTTTGTGACAGGAACAGATTTATCACACCATGTTTCTGCGTATAGACACACTTATTAACAGACTCCCATCACAACAGAAGTAAAATTTTACGTCTGGCTTAAATAAAACTTTATATCAGACTGTCGATCTCAAAGAAAGAGGAATTACGAACATTTTGATTAAACGTCACTTCTAAAATAAACGCTTACAAGGTTGGAATTAATAAAGAGGTTTAGTCTGTATCAGCTGTCAGAGAAGGAAATCAACGTTTCGGGAAGATGTCAGTAGCAACAGCCTGAATGCTTCGCAAGAGACCGTTATTCAGAATCAGGCGAGGGACTGCAAATGAAGTTTGTTTCCTGAAAAATAAAGTTACACAACCATCGCCCTGAAGACGGAGGCAGTATGACCTCTGAAATGTTGGTAAACATCTACCAAACTACACAGCGCAACAACCCAGAAGACAGAAATCTTCATACTCAACGCCCTGATGACGGAGGCAGTATGACCTCTGAAACGTTGGTAAACATCGACCAGACTACACGGCGCAACAAACCAGAAGACAGAAATATTCATACTCACCGCTGTGAAAACCTCAAATCTTACACAACCATGTCTCCGTATCCTAGGCCGAGGTGCTATATAATCTGTAGCCTATTCAACACTACTATTCTTAGGAACATAATATCAAGAAGGACGCGATGGGATGGACTGTACCACACATCGAGATTAGGAATACAAAACAGACCTAAAACAAGATGTGAAAGTGTAGAGTGGATTTGACTGGCTCAGGGCATGATCCAATGGCTGATTCTTGTGAGGACCTTGGGCTCCGTAAAACAAAGACAATTTCATCGCATAATGGAATTAGCCAAGTGCGGTTAAGAAAGTTTCAGTCTTCATGTAGTTTCAGAAAGAATTCCGACAGATCTGCACAAGTCAGAAAGTCCTAAGCAACAATTTGGCAACAACGAACGTCTTCCGCTACAGTAGCAGCTAAGTTTAAATGAATCGCGCAATTGGGTCGCCTACAACGAAGCTCGACTGTAACCAAACGCATCCGAAGCAGAAGAGCAACAGGGGAAAACAAATGAATGCTGCTACTGCTTGCAAATACGAAGTATGAAGATTTCTCAGATATGAAGGAAAAATACAACGAAACACGTGACAGACAGTAACATTCTAAAAGGCGTCAATAAAGTGAGCGTAGTATTCAAGCGAAGATAAAAGAAAGCTGATAAAAATACAGCATAATAAAATGTAAAGTGAAAGAAAGGCGAACCCCACCAGGGACATTTAGTTACTCCAGCAGAAGCACTGAGAGCGAGAATAAGAGCAGATACGATGGAGAAGTTTAAGCGCTTGTCGAAAATGGCTTCAGCACAGCAAAAAGCTAGCTCCAAGAAGACAGACACAGACATGTCATCTGCACCTACTGGAACATTCTAGTCATCACTCAGCGATAACCTTATGCGATGTCAATTTAATACAGCAAATGGCATGCGCCCTAAACTTGTCGGTCTGTTTCTGAACGTTATCTAGCAATTCCTGTATCATTACTCTTATTATCATCATTAACAACATCGTAACCCCATGAAATTCTTGTTCAGAAGCTAACAGGCGCCGGGTTCAGTGAAGAAATTCACTGCCGTTTATGGTAACCCAACACTCGTTAACAACAGTTAACCAATGGTCCCTACCCTCAGCCAGATGAATCCAGTCAACAACCTCACATCCTAGTTATTTAAGATGCATTGTAATAGAATAATATAATAATGCTTCCATCTATGTCTAGGTCTTCCCATTGGTTCCTTCACTTAGGGTTTTGTAACTAAAATGTTTGTACCTCTCCCATTTGTGCTGCTGTTACCGAAGCCATATCTTTTGTATGGAAAGTCATTATTATTATCCCATCACTTTATGTGGTATGTACTTCCATGTACCCGAGACAGACCTTGTCCCTAAGGTACATAGGGCAGCAGCTATTTCCGGGATACATATTGTTTTTAGCAAGTGCCACGTGTATTATACAATTTTATTTTATGAAAGCGTCTTTCGGATTATGTTTGAAGATCCCAAAATGACGGCCATCTGCAGTTCCCTGATGTCGTGTTCGCCCGGGATGTTGGCCAAATATTTCCTGAGTGACCTGGAGACAGTTCCTGTTGCTCCTATAATTATTGAGATTATACTTTTGCTTGCACTTTCCACACTCTCTGTATTTCTATGAGAAGGTCCTTGTATTTCAAGATGATCTCTGCTTCCTTCTTAATTACATTTCTGTCGGTTGGTACTGCTATATCGATTAATAGACAAGTTTGTCATTATTGTTATTATTATTATTACTTCATTTTTTGTTATATTTGTGCAGTTGGCATACACCTTAACAAAGGAATTGAATATAGGAATTGGACTGAATAATATGCCAATAAATATATTTCTTCATGTTTATTTATGTCTTTGTTCTTGTTTTTGCATTAATTTTATTCACTTGTGCTGACTCTGTAACTGGCTCCTATAGCTGCCAAGTTGACACGTTAAAATAAAGATCTGAATTGTTATTACTATTGTTGTTGTTGTTTTGTTGCTGCTGCCGCCATTATTAATACTACAATGATGTGCACCAGTTAGTTCTGGTCGACAGATCCAAGTGATTCCCATGACCAATACATATCCGTCACTAAAATGTAAAACATAAATTATGGTAATATAATACATAATACGAGCCAGGGGTTGGGGTTAGGGGGTTGGGAAACGTTCGGCAGTAAGACTGGTATGACGATGGGGCACAGACTAACATTTACAACGCTCTTAGAGACATGGATTGTGATGATCGAAAGTGGATACAACTGGCTCAGAACTGTGTCGAATGGTTAACTTTTTCATTGGCTGTGCTGAAAAGACGGTTCCGCCATCAGAGTAATATAAGTAAACTTATTTATTTTCGAAAGAATGTTGCAATTGTTGGCGAGGCCGCCACTGCAGTACGTAGCCAACCGAGAAAATAAAGGAAGTCTAAACTTCTTACTGTATACACTGCTTCGAATTCTAGTTCCTCAGAGTCCACTAAATCCTTCGCAGTTAGTTTACATGGTCCGAACTCTTCTGCACAAAAGGTCATCCACAGGCCTACCACATTTCTCTAAGAACCCTGTATTACAAACGACACAGCTTTAATGCTATTTCTGCGCATTCCCCCCAAAAAAATCTTTTAACATCTTCACTGAAACACTAATATTTCCTCTCCCACACCGGCGTCCAGCATGTGTTATCCACCTGCTGCTTATGGTCACTGCTGATACTGATACACCGATATTCTCGAAGAGGAATGGCTGGAGACACAGACGGTGAACATTAACCAGATATTAAAAAACTAATATACATATGATTTATAAACAATAACATACTGAAACAAATACAATATTGGATAGATACACCATCTACATAGGGCATTACACAAATGAATACCATATGGCCGTTCTAACACGTAGCAGAAAAATAAAAAAGAAGTAGAGATATAACTAGATGCGTAGGCGAATGGATAAATGGATGGACGGACAGATAATGAGTAAAGTACTGAAACATATTTAGGGTATTACCACAAGCTGCATTCATTTTGGTCCGACTAATGTGCATCCGTGAATCAACACAGCATTTTATTTTCGCCCAAATATATCCTAACACAACAATACATAAAACAATATTTTTGGATAATAAATCTGTGGCTTCCAGAAGGTGGTTATAACCTATCCAACAGACAGAAATCAAGAGTTGTAACTTATAGCTGGAGTTAGGAAGAACGTAGGACGCAAAACAACATACTAAACACGGAAGAAACAGAGATGGTAATAAATGGAGAATTAAGAGATACAAAATAGAACATGAGAGAGAAAACGTTTATAGAAGATAACAGCGCTAAGTGATGTAGAACCACAGAAGTAGTAAAAAGCCGCTAAAACCCCAACTGATACAGGATCCTTATCTCCATTCTGTACACACTCGCCATTACTATAGCCACAGCACAGAGAACTGTTCAACTTTAAGGGAAGGGCGTACTGAATGAAACTAAGAAAACTTCCCTAAACTTAATAGTGTCCCAGACAAATGGGCGACGTTTCACTTCTCCCACTCATAACACAATAATATTACTAACACATAAAACGGGTGCATTATTAAGACGAGACGGGCGGTACATGCAGCACGAATGGAAGACACCAGAGAACCTTAAAAAGAATGCAACCTGGGCTTTGATGTAAATTTAATATTAATGTTGGTATTAATAAAACAGGATTAATGTGGCTCAAAACAGGGCCCGGTGGCGAGCTCTTTTGAACGTAAGTTAGT